TCTCTCTCTCTCTCTCTCTCTCTCTCTCTCTCTCTCTCTCTCTCTCTAACATTAAATTCATATTCTGAGTTTTCTCTTCTGTGATTTAATTCCTTATTTAAAGTTGATTTTACATAAAAAAAAACAAGCCTTCATAGCATTTTACAAGGAGGTGTGACAGCAAACTGCATTACGAAACCATGTTTACACCCTAGTCCTGAGAAAACCCTGCCCAGCAACACACACACACACACACACACAATCTTCCTCACAAAGAACAAATCCCCACAAACATACTTGTGCACTTTGTTTCTATTTGACATTGTCTCTCTCTCTCTCTGAGTATGTATCTCTCTATCCCACATACACACACACACCCACACACACACACACACACACACAAGATTAGCAGCAGGCTAACCGTCGATGTCCACACCCTGGATTTCAGTTTGCAGCCAGGCGGCCTCGCCTACTGGGTGTGGCAGCAGCTCTGTCCTGATTTACTAATAAACACACACACACACACACACACACACACACACACACACACGTGTCTCTGTGATACGTCCCGGGTGTCTCCAGTGTGGGTTATATAAGGTTATATAAGTGTCCAGTCATGGCAGTGCTGCAGTAATGTAATTGGGCTGCAGGGGAGGGAGGTGATCCACACAAAGACCGCATTTCCCATAAACCCTGCTGCGCATTAGTGCCTCTCTCTCTGCTGTCGACTCCTATCATGGACTTCACACTGAGATGACGTCACACATGGTTCAACTGAGCTGTTTTCTTACAAACAAGCAATATTGTTAATTATTTTTTTTGTGGAAAAAGGCTTATCTGCCTTTTTTTCTGGGAGTAAAATGACAAATTAGATACCAGTCTGATGTCTGTGCGTCACTCAGAGGCATGAATGGATTACTGAACGAGCCTACCGGCCACACAGCAAGGGGCCCAGAGTGTCAGGGGGCCCCATGTCTTCATCTCAAACTCAAAATGACCACAGAGAGACACGAGACGACTGCAGAGAGACACGAGACGACTGCAGA